TTAAAGTTTTCAATATCTTGAACTTGCAATACAAAACTTTAAGACATTGAATATTTTGAGATCTTAGACTTACTACAATTAGTAAGTGTAGTAACGATTCAATGACTACAGCTATGATGAAACGTGGTTTCGATCAAAGCATTGTAAATTGGATCAATGAAATGTTATCAAAAAGAGAAATATCAGCAAAACTTGGAAGCTCACTCATCAGTGTAAGAGCAACCAAAGGATGCCCGCAAGGAGGCGTGTTATCACCTCTATTGTGGTCTTTAATAGTTGATGATCTTCTCAAAAATTTAATAGCCCATGGCTTCGAACTAATTGGCTTCGCAGATGATATAGTCATAATTGTACGTGGCAAATATGATTGTATTATCGCTAACAGAATGCAAATTGCTTTAAATTTTGTCTCATCGTGGTGTGATAGGGAAGGATTAAACTTAAATCCTTCTAAAACTACTATCGTGCCATTTACCCGAAGGAAGAAATTTTCATTAGACAACATAAGATTGAAAGGCACACTTTTGGAACTTTCTAATGCTGTCAAATATCTTGAAGTAATCCTCGATAGTAAACTTAATTGGAATATGCACCTAGAGCAGGCAATAAACAAAGCTACTAATGCCCTATGGATATGCAAAAGAACATTCGGTAAACAGTGGGGACTGAAACCGAAAATGATCCATTGGATTTACTCGGCAATTGTGAAACCCAGGATTACTTATGGTGCATTGGTCTGGTTAGAAAAACTCCAAAGGTTAGCAACTCTCTCAATAACAGGTGCAATGAGAAGTACACCATGGATGCTTTGCTTTATATGCTACCATTGCATCAATTTGTACAATTAGAAGCCGAAAAGTGCGCTCTAAGGATTACAAGGTCAGTGAAACTCTTTGAAGGAGACTTTAGAGGACATCTTACGATTCTAAAAACTGTTAGTATCAACTCTCTAGTAAGGAACAACGAAGACTGGATGGAGAAAAGATACAATTTCAATCGACTTTTTCGAGTAGTTGACCCTGGGCGTAATTCATGGCAATTTGTTGGCCCGGTTCTTCGTCCAGGATCGATGGTTCAAGATTGAACAAACAAGTGGGAGCAGGAGTAACTGGCCCAGGGATAGAAATATCGGTTCCTATGGGCAGATGGCCAACTGTGTTCTAAGCTGAAACCCAAGCAATTTTAGAGTGTTCCGTTATATGTTTGCGTAGAAACTATAAGAGTTCAAATATATGCGTCATGTCCGACAGTCAAGCTGCTCTAAATGCTTTAAAGTCGGCGACATGTACATCAAAACTTATCTGGGAGTGTGTTCAATCACTTCAAAAATTGTCTTGTCATAATCAAGTCAACTTATATTGGGTTCCTGCGGGATTGAGGGAAATGGAAGAGCTTATGCACTAGCAAGACTCGGATCTTCTCATAAGTTCATCGGGCCAGAGCCCTTTTGTGGCTTATCGGCTGCATCTCTTAGAATGGAGCTAAAAGCGTGGGAATCTTCAAAAGTGGAGGAAAAGTGGAAGAACACTTCCTTTGCTAGGCAGTCGAAGCGATTTATTAATCCAAACATTTCTGTGACCCACAAAATCCTGGAACTTTCTCAGAAAGATCTTAGTATATATGCAGGTCTTATAACCGTTATCACTTGAAGCTGATTGGAAAACTTCAAGATTTCTGTGGCATAGAAAAGGAAGAATCGGAACATTTACTATGCCACTGTCCGGCAATTTTCAATAAAAGGCAAGGGGCTGATAGAACCCTTTGACATTTGGAGAACAACTCCCAGTACGGCAGTGCACTTTATTCGAAGTATAATGCCGTGCTGGGATAATGCTATTAGTCAAACGATGGCGATCACTCCTAATAATAGTGATACGGCATCTTGATATAGCTAAAGAAAAAATTGGGAATATATCACAATAGATCAGAAAAATGGTCGCAGTGATGAAAATACCCGACAAGGAAAAAAAAAGTGGTAAACTTCAACATTCATTAAATTTGATTGTAAAACTGTCTTTTTAAACTGATTGCCATGCCTTAAAAACATTTGCGTTAATTTCTGTTGTTGCTGTTTTACAAAAAAAAAAGCAGATTTTAGCCCTTTTTTAAAAATAACTGTCTTATTATAAATCTGGAAATTATCCGGAAATTCAGTGAATTTTACCAAGGTAAATGAGTAGACACTCAGTAGATAGCGAAAAACGATTAAACGACAAAAAGCTCTGTAGAAGCACAACACCTTCGAATTGTGCGAAAATTAGAACAAAATGTAGGCATCGATTGGACTAACAGATCCAAGAGAAATGATCAATCTTGAAATAAATTCACAATAAAAAAAGTTGAAAATAGTAACTGATGAAGTGACAAAATAAGTGTAGTGACTTGGCCTTAAGAAAGGAGACTTTTTAGTGACTTTTTTTTTTATCTAATTCGTTTATTTGGAAGGCTCAATCACCTTAGCTATACGGAGCCGATAATTCATTGTTCATTGTTTTTAGCAAAATATTCACTTATTTCTATGTCTAGTAGGAGTTGAGCCGAATACTCGCGGTGTTAGAGGCGTACATTGTCGAAGGATAGAATCAGGGAAGGAGCTTGGGGAGGAGTTTCGTTATCTCATCAGAGCGTTGCCAATACGTTTCAAGGTGGCCACCTACATGTGACTATCGACAGAAGCGACTGACCAGCGGCTAATTTCAAAAGAAAGGTGCTTAGCTTATTTTCTATTTGATGGCTCTACTTTTCTCAAGCACAGCCAGCGTGGCAAGTGAATTTCCATTTTGAAATTCCTGGTTTTTTCCTGGTTTTCCTGGTCAATGATTTAAAATTTTCCTGGTTTTAAAAACCATGTATTTAAAAACCAATTTTTAATAAAAAAAAAAGTGAATACTTGTACCACCACTCTTTGCGCAATGTGGAATTTCACAAACCAAAATAGGTATTAAGGTTCTTGTGAATGCCCCTGAAATATTTATCTAATTGTTTGCTGTAAAGAAGCTGGTAGGGAGCCGCGCTATTTCGTCGTATCATGGCGCCTATTTCCGTTCTATGTGCTAAAACTATAATAACAAAGCGTTTTCACACATGTTTTTTTGCAAAAACATCTTTGCTTACAAGATTAATTACGATTGACACTGAAACATTTGCGATAACCCGTAAAATGAGCGATTTTAGGGGTGTATGACGAAGAAAAGCTGAGATACGACGGACCAGCGCGGAGCCCTATCTAATGTCTGAAATTTAGAGATCTATAAGTCCCTAAATCTTGAGATTTCTGTTTTTGAAACTGCGATTTTTTTAACTTTATTATTGAGATTTTTAGCCAAGTTTATCTCAAGGTGAAATTGCGAAGTGTGATATGAATGAGGACTCTTTAAACAAACCTTTGCTTCTAACAATTTTACGGATTTCATGTTTGTTTAAATTTTCCGCAAATTGTCAACGATTAAGGATCTTATTTAGCGGAATTTTGATTACAACATGATTTCAAAATCATATGATTAAAAGATTTCATAAACAACGCTGGTTTAATAACTCTTATTATTAAAAAGACTGACTGCTGAAGTTCATAGAAACTCCCTAAAGTTCGTAGAACTTCCCTGAAGCGTTAAGGTCTTTCCTGAAGGGTTCATTGAAGTTTGTATTGCCTAAATTTCATGGGACTTCCCCGAAGTTCGAAGGACTTTTTTTTTAAGATCTTAGGACTTCCCGGAAGTTCGGAGTTTTTTGAAATTCATAGGAATTTCTTAAATATCGTAGAAGTACCACGAAGTTCGTAGAAATTCTCCGAAGTTCGTAAGACTTCCTTCAAGATCAAGATCTGAGTACTTCCCTGAAGTTTGAAGGACTTACTGAATATATGAGAACCCTAACTTTTGAAGAGCTTTCATGAAGTTCATAAGGCTTTAAATATCGAAGGGTTTTCAAAAAGTTTGTGGGTCTTTCCTTAATTTCTTGGAAATGCCCTGAAGTTTGGAGAGCTCCCATGAACTTCGTAGAACTACCTGTAGTTCAATCGACTTCTCGGAAGTTCTAAGAACTTTTAGGAGCTTGGAGAACTATGTTAAGTTCAGAAGACTTTCCAAGAGCATTGAAGACTTCTCTGAAGCTCGGAAAAATCCATAAGTGTCATAGGATTATCCTTAAGTTTTAAGCAATGCCTAAATGTCGTAGAATTTACTTTAAATCTGTAGAAAATTCTGTAAAAATCGCAATTATTCCCCAAAGATTAAAGGACTTCCCTGAAGTTCGTAAGACTTCTCTGAAATTTGTAGAACTTCTCTGAAGGTTCGGAGAGATTTCCTGACCATCGTAGGTCATCACAGTAGTTCACAGGATTTTCCTGAAACTTGTAAGACTTTCCTGAATTTTCTAGAACTTGCATGAAGTTCGAATTTTTTTTTTTTTTTTTAAACTTTATTTTAGAGATTTTTAGCCTGAGGCTAGTTCATCTCTTAATGAAGTTCGAAGGCCTTATCCGAAGTTTTAGAAATACAACTTTTTTTATTGAACATGTTGAACAGGTACTTCAAAGTCTTAAGTCTGCTTAAGTCTGCTATCAATTAAGCACAAATCATACATGTATGATATTGATTCGAGAAAAAAAAAAATTTACAAAATATATTTACTAAATCTTTAAATTTGTGTGAAAGATTTAGCTTGAACAAAATGGTTAGTTTTGACCTGATTATAACAAGAAATTTTGACATACATAAAATTTAAACCCTATTTAAATTATACAAACAAGATTATTTTCCTGGTGGACTTATGAAATGCCTGGTTTTTTCCCGGTTTATCCTGTTGAAAATAAATTCCCGACTTTTTCCCGGTTTTCCTGGTTCACTTGCCACCCTGCACAGCGCTACTGCATTAAACCCATGGATTCTGGCAGAGTTGCCAGTGTTTTTGATATGTTGTCTTCGGTTTTAGACAACAATTGCATCCAAAATTTCCGTGACATTAACCTGCTAGAAAAGAGAAACCTGCCGAACCACACTTACCAACTGCCGGCGACATAGATCGGGATCCAGATGAACCTGTCGGCGACGGACTGGGCCTCATGCCCTGGGAATTGGGCGTACCGGGAGCAGCGGAAGCACCACCTGTTGCACCACCACTCGAGCTGTCATTACTGTTCTGACCCGTCGAATCCTGCAAATAGATTTCGGAGAAGAAAAAAAGAAACCGAAATTAATACTTTTGAATTGGTTTTTGTTTTTAATATTGAAAATTAAAGCTTTCACTATTGGGTGACCATAGAAGGCAATAATTGTGAGTGCGTGAGGACTTCATAATTAATACCTCCCCCCACGGATCTGATTATTGTCAGCTTCGATGGATGAGTAATTCAACGTGCGTTCACTCCTGCTTATTGTTTCAATAAAAATTTCATATTTATTTATTCTATAGCAGATGCACATACGTTCATATTATATGAAGGTTGTGTTTTTTTTTTGTTTCTTTCCCGGGTTGACTCGGACGTCATTTGGAAAATTTATTTTATCCTTCTGGATTGTGCCCGGACAAACACAAACATGGACCAACGGACGGGTAAACAACAATATATTGAAACTGTGCGATGTTGTTCCAATTTTCCTGGCACCACCCTCTCCCCGATCAACACTATATGTCGAGAGGAGGAGGAGGATGATGAGCTGGACACAACGATAATGATGATGAAACGCTCCCACGAACCGGTCGGTGCAAACATAATTTATTTTTCAATCTTTTTTTTTCCCGGTATTAATTCCAACCCTATTCATGCAATTTTCAATATAATTATGCTGCATTTGCAAATATTTGCATTAATTCACATTTTTCGCATTTCATTTGGCAATTTTTATCACCACCAACCGCCTGTCTTTCTCGCTGGACACCTACACCTATCTATCCGACGGGGTCGTTTTTTTTTTTTTTTTCACTTGAAAGAGCACCAGCAGCTGTCAAAAAATGTTGCGTAGCTTAATGCTGTGTGCGTGTTGTGGTAGAGGGTGCTGCAAATTGTTATCATTATTCACTATTTATTTTCAGAGAAGGCGGGTAGAACAATTGGATGTGCTCTGAGGTCACGTGTTTGCGATGCATGCATGAATATTTTTATTATGAAGCCCGGTAGCATAATTTGGTTTAATTTTTGATTACTGACACATAGAGCGCTATCAGATTTTATCGAAAACCGGCAGGCGGACAGTTTCAGAAGGAAAATTGCATTCATTTTTGTTGTTTTTAATTTAAGTCCAGCATTGACATGTGGTTTCAGAAATGTTGGCTTCAGTGCTAAACAATTATCAGAAGCTTTACTAGTGCTGATAAGCCTTTAATGAGAATTTTTCAGTACCCAAAAGTAATGAGTAGCCGTTATATGAGAGGACCACCATTGTTAAGGTGAATGAGTTTGTATCGCACAACAGTACAAAAATAAATCGAATAAAATCTTAGAGTTTGTCAAACTGAGTCTGTTATTACAGATACAATCCTATATCCATATCGAGCCAAATCAAGTAAATTTATAACCCAACTGACCTGCACTGGAGTACGTATGAGCCATTTTTGGGCATCATATCTTTGAACATCACTGAAACAACTTGGACATACGTGAAATTTGGCTGCCTGGGTGGGCAAATCTCTATCCGTCTTCATAGACGACGAATCCCCAACCTCCGATCAATCCAATTAGTAACTATAGTTTATCGACTCAATCGCAAACCCTCAATCGCAGCTCCATCGAACCATAAATATTCTCCGCAACGCACACCACCACCGTGTCATAAGTATTGGCCTCGTTTCCGTCCGTTGTCCACCCTCCACCGTGTCCTCCCGGGAAAAACTTTCCAAATCGAAAAGATCCACTCCCAACCAACCGAACAGAGCGAGCGGCGCAAACACAATCGCTGCGGTCTGTGTACCTACAGAACCGAAAGAGGAAACCGACCGAACGAAACATGAAACGAAAAATATTGCAATAATTGAATGACGTCAATTAATGTCAAAAATGTTATAATACATCCGAAACGGCAAGAGCTCCGGGAGAGTGAGTGCAAGTGTTCCCCGCTGTCCACATTCCCGGGGTATGTGCGGTTGACTCGGAGGAAGGCGGTCCGGCAGGCGGGTAGATGAAATGTGGCGTAGAGTCACGTTTGCCCGCTGGGGAGAAAAAGAAGGCACCGAACCGGGGCTTTCCGGAAAAATGAGCAACCTTTTCTGACACGGACTCTCGGCGGAGATGTTGCGATGCCGGACACCAAGAACCTTGAAGCGATGAATCAGGAACAAACAGAGGGAAATGTCGTTGGCCGGTTGCCGTCGTCGGCATCAACTCGGCTATAGCAGAAAAGCGGTTGAACGTGGAACGAGTGGAATAGGAGTGGACCTTATTTCGTTTCTGTTTGTAGATCCGTTTTTATCGAATGGTTAATGGATGATAAGCCTAGTCGGTGGCGGATTGGTTGATATCGCACCATACCGGCTTGAAGCGGAGGAAAACCGCAACCGCACAGACGAATGGAACGCTGCATGAAAAATGGGGAATGTTGAAAGTTTTATGACAAGTTTTGTCACTTTGAAGGATTTATGATTCATTCGGAGCAAAAATCTATGACTCTGGTATGTCCTTGAAGCAAATAAGTATTTGTGAGAGGGTAGGTGTGCCAATTTGTGCTCAATTCTAAATGAAATTTGAAATATATTTTCATAGTTTTATTCATATAGATTTATCGCAAATATATGTTCTAACCTTGTATCGCAATAAATTTTTTAAAGCACAAAATGTTAAATCTAAGATAGGGCCAATTAGACGACCCCAAGTGCCAAAAACTGGCCGAAATGTTCGGAAAATCCGAGGGGGACGACACATCTAAATCTCAATTCTACATGCTCAAAAAATCTCACCCTAGCGAATCAATCCTCGAAAAATCATCTTTCATTTCTCGCATCTACTTGCATCGTGCTTCATCTTTTTGCAGGAAATCTTCAAAATTGACATAAATCTTCCTTCTATCTACTCAGCGTGCGTGCAGCTAGCCACAGCAAAACACAATCTTTTCTGCATCGTAGATAGAGTCGTCCCCCTCGGGAAAATCCCCTTTTTCATCAAAATACTTAAATATTTGACAAAGTGAACCATGCCCTAATAAACACGGGTTTTAAAAAATCTGTTAAGTACAAAAGGGTTTAACAATTTGACGAGTCGAGGGTTTTAAAAGCCTGGGGATTCAGACTAAAAATTGAAATATTTTATCAGAGCAGTTCCAGGTCAAAGCTGACTCGACCTACTCCAATTTGCATGAAGGTTTGAATAATTGTTTGTTATGAGCAATCATTCACATTGTACTGAAATTCGGCCATTTTGAAACTTGCATTTTTTTTTCAAAATGTCGTGTTTGACATTTTTTATTAAATCTTAGCACAAAAACACAATTTCTAATCTTACACAAAGCTGTAAGAAAAAATAAACTTTTTCTACGGAAAATATACACGGTACATGTTTTTGTATAATTTTTAGCAAAAAACCCGTTTTGTTATTACACTGCTGTCTTTTTTTTAAACTTTTTTAAATGAAGTATATTTTTGTAATTTTTGACCTTTAAATCATTTTCTGTGCGAAAACTAAAAAAATATTAGAAAGTAATTTTTTGTTGTATAGAATTTAACACTTTTTCTGATTTTTTACACAAAATTTTCATAACAAATATACCGTACAAATGTTTACTCGGAAGAGTACAGCTTTGTCTCAGACGTCATTTAGATTTAAAGTTTTGTTTCCGTGATACGATTTTTTATCTTTGATTTGTTTTCCCGCGATTTTGTTTTCCGTACTGAGTACAGGGTGTCCATTCCAATTAATTTTTTTAATTCACGTTTTAAGACAAAACAACAACCCAAACATAACTCCTGCTTGAAAGAAAAAAGGCGTTCAAAAATAACCGTTTATAGATAATCATATATTTTTTTCCGCAGATTTGTTCTACAATTCGTCTAGTTTATAGAAAAAAATATGAGATGTGATTAACATTAACATGTTGATCATCTAGATCTTCAAAAACCCACGGAATCATGAATTCGAAAAAACTAAAGAGCCGCTTTATCAGTCAAAATTGTATTCTTTAGCAACAAAATAAAGCAATGACACCGATAATGACCATGCATCAGTGTTAACCACTTCAAACTAGGGAACAACGAATAGAATATTAGGAATCACATAGATGAAGCCTCATTGTTCACTCGGCTGTCGACAAAAGCAGGCCACTCTCGATGTGTGTCGACAGCAACCATTGTGTGGTCCTCCTCATTGTTCTTCATCAGCAGTTCTTTCGGTCGATGCGTCGTCGACTTTGGGAAGCAACCGTTTCGTGATGAGTGAAGAGGCTTTTTGGATAGCGGAAGATAAAGTGTTTATTGTGTTGTACATTTTGACTATACTTTTAAGATGTATTGTATAGTGACCAAGAATCCTCGGCTCTGTAAAGTTAATTCGTTTGAGCCTTATCAAATAAATTAATAAACAAAAAAAATAGATGAAGACTAAGGGTACGGCCAGGGTAGACACGATTCGCGACGCGACGCGACCAATTCAAAAGAATCTTATTATTTATTATTATTCCTTGCGTGAGTCGCATCGCGTCGCATCGCGTGTCGCGTCTACCCTGGCCGCGGCCTAACTAATTCATGCGTTCCTTGTTTCTAGATCATCGTCGGTGGACAAAGCCGCGTCTTGTCACTATCAACAAGGCATAGTAAAGTAACAAGGACTAAGATGTGTTCCTTTGATTATTGAAAAATCTTGTTCCTCTAGTTTGAAATAGTCAGGACTGAGAATCGGTGGTAGATCTTACATCCCGTAATGTACCATAAAAAGGTGATCTACCCACGTTAAGGTGCTATTTTATAGGTTAATAGAAATCTTGTTCGAATTTTCACTCAGAATTTTTGAGTATTTTGTGCTTCGCGGTGACTTATAACATCTTTATAAATTATTAATTGTTTTTAAATATAACATTTGTTAAGTATCAAAATCAACTTGGATGTCTAATCTTGAATAAGGTATGCGATGATTCAACTTAATCATAGTACATTCGTGAAGTAATATCATTTGTTTGGTATATTAGGTTTTCCAAAATGCCTGGAGTTCAGATCTTATTTTTTTATTATAGTCA